AGTAGTTTAGTTGTGTAAACCTCAGTAGTTTAGTTGTGTAAACCTAAGTAGTTTAGTTCCTCATACATTCATTTCTATTTCATGGTTCCATATTTTAACAAAGCCATCTCCGTCCGGCTTTGAGGACGGAACGAAGTGCAGGACGAGATGATGAAATGACTTTTTAAGGAGGCCATGATTTGCAGCACTGTGATGTGTTTGTTTGTATGTAGGTCATACATACAGGAAGGGGGGGGGGTTGCCTGTTAAGTTTGAGGCGTCCGCTTCACGCAGCAGACTCATAAACCTACAGAGGGAGTTTATTCAGCCGCTCGCTGGACGGCGTGATTTATCTAAATCAGAGAGCTCCCTGAGCCCGACACCGGAGACGAAACTCACTGTCACACTGTAATTCATCTCTGGTGTCACCAACACACACACACACACACACACACAGCAGGTAGGAACAGAGAGAAACACACTTCCGATGCATGCAGAGGAATGAGCTGCACACACAGAACTCTTACTGAACGATTCATCTTTTTAACAGATTCATCGCTTCATATGTTTTAAAGCTTCTCTGATGTGATTATTTGAAGCTTTTCTATTGTTTTAAATCTTTAGAAACTGTGTTTTAGATTTTTGCTCTGATGAAATAAGCCGTTTAAAGAGCTCTTTTTCTTATTTAGACATTTAAACTGCATGGTACACAAAGGCTCCTGCTGCCAGTAGACCAGTAAGTGAGCCAGTAGAACATAATGGGTTCACATTTCAGTGTCAAACACCAGAACACAATTGGCGTTTATGTAATTTAGGTTGTGGTGCTTCCTGACTGGATTAAATTAGTTAACGAAGATTGTTTTTTAACTGAATTCCAGGTTAAAAGCTGCAGAAGTCTAGGAAACAATTATTACGTAACACCTTTCATAAGTGAACTGATGACAACCAACACAATACTGACGGTGTGTTTTAACAAGTCACACCCCTCTTTAATGTTAATGACATCATGTCAGCAGCTGCTACACTAGTTCACACTAACAGCAGGATGAGGTCACGTCTGCCAGGAGGTGTGAGAGCTTTAAAATAAAAGTGTTGGAGACACGTCAGCTCCACCTGGTTCTGATGCTGATACACCCACACAACCTCCACTGAAGCAACAAGGCTGTTCAATATAGAGGAGTGTGTGTTAATCAGCTGGTCTCTGACTGAGCTGGACAGGAAATGTGCCGTTAAAACAAAACGAGGAGGTAAAAGCAGCACCTTTAACATTGTATCTGTGGACACGGTCAGATCTCATACTCATATCTATATAGCAGCAATATCGTTGTGTTTATGACGCTCCTCGTTTCTCACAAGCTACTTAATCCAAATACAGAGGGTTCTGGTTCAAAACTTAAAAAATTGGTGAGTTTAGGAGAGACTGCTTTGGTTCTTTTAAGCGTCGCCATCTTGGTTTTTGGTCGTCGCCATCTTGGTTTTTGGTCGTCGCCATCTTGGCTTTTGGCAGCCAGTGAACAGGAAGTGACCATATTTGGACTGAGGAGCAGTGACGCTGAGGTAGAGACCTGTCAATCACTGTGTAGCCCCGCCCTAAAGCATCCCCTGCTTTATGGTCTGTGTGACTCTAAATGGACCATAATGTACTAAATGAACATCATGCTGTATTGAAGAAGACTTGAAACTAGAGATTGAGACCATAAACTCATGTTTACAATGTTTACTGAGGTAATAAATCAAGAGAGAAGTAGAGTCATTTTCTCATAGACTTCTATACAACCAGAGGAGTCGCCCCCTGGTGGACACTAGAGAGAATGCAGCTTTAACACATGAAGCTTTGACTTCTAAATAGATGGAAATGAACCCCCCACCCTCCCTCTGTCTGGTCTCTGCTGCCCGGCGCCGGACCAGGATACGCTCCGAAGGCCGAGCATTGTGTTCAACCAGACGCCCGGAAAACTCACCCGCAGCCAGACGCGCTCTGAATATCTGAATATTACATAACTTATTCACCACGGTCAGCTCTTAAGAGCGCTCTCCTTTACGGCGCAGAGAAATATTGACACCACTCAGGCTGCGATTGTTGGAGGAGCTCGTTATCTCAGCAAACAAAGCCTGTGAGACCGATTCACCTGCTGGCTGTTACACGATGAGAGCATTAATACTTCACTGGGGCTGTGGGGCTGATTATGTTTTTGGGTGCAGAATCAGAGAGAAAGAGAAACACATTGCTTCACTTGTGATGCAATCCAGCAATGTGTCTGCGAGGCGTGAAGTCTTTGTTGGATGATGATGATGATGATGATGATGATGATGTGTATCTTTAATGAAGCAGTCAGGTAAGAGACACTCACTTCACTTCGTCTGAGGGGGTTTAGTTGTATTCTATAGATGTATTAGAACACTGTGAGATAAACCTCAGCAGGAAGTTACTAAAGTCAACTGAGTTAAAGATCACTTTACCTAAAGGCAGACACACAAAGGTGTCAGCTCACGTTTCTCAATCAGACTGGTCTTCCAGAGATCACGATGATAACGAGGGATTCTTGTGAGCTCACAGAGAAGCGACGCCCCGAGGGGGGAAGCGTCACCTGCAGCTGTGGCTGCTTCCTGGTCTACGCGTGTCTCTGACCCCGATCTCACCCCTTCCTCTGAGGAGCGCCGTTAGGCGTGATCTCACTCTCAACGAAGGGGGGGGGGGGGGGGCTCGAGGATCAGGTTTACAGGTGGATCACTCGGGAGTGTGAGGCAGCTGCAGGTGGTCAAAGCGTGCTTCATGCTGATGGAGCGGCATTTAAAGTCTGCAGGTTTTCAGTGTATCAGAGCGCCGATAAAACACATCGATGAGCAAAGAGACACCAAGAGACACAAAGAGACTCAAAACTACTACAAAGAGACTCACAACCACTCCAAAGAGACTCACAACCACTCCAAAGAGACTCACAACCACTCCAAAGAGACTCAAAACCACTACAAAGAGACTCACAACCACTACAAAGAGACTCACAACCACTACAAAGAGACTCAAAACCACTACAAAGAGACTCAAACTGACTACAAAAAGAGGCTAAACAACTATAAGCGCTGTTTATCACATGTCGGAGAGCTGGAGGGCCTCTTGCATGTCTGGGATCAGGGCTCCATTGTCCCCAACAAATGCACAACTGAAACTAAACGTCTGTCACACGTTTCTTCCCTCCTCTCTGTTTCAGCCCTGCAGGTTTGGCCGGCAGCCCCGTGATCTCAGACATCTCCCTGATCCGCCTCTCACCCGCCGCCGTGTCAACGGGCGACTCCCCCTTCAGCCCGCCTCACCCGTACGTCAACCCCCACATGGAGCACTACCTGCGCTCGGTGCACGGCAGCCCCACCCTGTCCATGATCTCAGCGGCCAGAGGACTCAGCCCAGCCGACCGTGAGTTCTTCTACCGATCAATTCTGAGCTAAACCTCATGACGAGCTCCTCCGAGGAGCTAAACCTCATGACGAGCTCCTCCGAGGAGCTAAACCTCATGACGAGCTCCTCCGAGGAGCTAAAGCTCATGGCGAGCTCCTCAGAGGAGCCTCACAGGGTGCATTGGTTCAGTTGACACGAGGTCGGGGTTCAAACTGGGCTGTTTTTGACAACTTTCAGATTATTTCATCCAAGAAACACAAAAAACAAATGTCATATGTGCACTTTTCACTGCTCTTAAATCTGCATCCACGTTGTCTTTCATTGCTATAATCTCTTCTTGACATAAGTTGCCAGCGGTGGTGACGGCTCCTTCCTCAGCGCTGGATTACAAGAACAGATTGGAGAATAAATCTTCTCTTACAGTCTGTCGGCGGTAATGTGGCAACGCTCTTAAGTTAAGTAAGAGATGTGGCCGTGAGAGAAAGTGCAGCGGAGGGAATGCAAATAGACTTTTATGTTCCAGGTGACCTCGCGTTCTTTCTCCCTCACATCTCACAGCTTCATGTGATGAAGAGGAAGCCTCTGGCCTTCATTTTCCTCCAGCTGTTTAAGGTGGAATGTGATCCTGTAAGGATGCAGCTCCTTCAGCAAACGTCTGCTTTGTTTCAGGCCGGGACCCTTAATGAGGTCTGAGAGATCACTTAGGGGCCGAGGGCCTGAGGTAGAACGAGGGGGGTGTGTTTGGCTTGCAGACCGGTGTCTCCAGAGGAAAGGGGGGGGGGATCACCTCCACGGGCCGCTGCACATCTGTGACCCCACCCCCCTCAGCCCATTCATGGATCTCCTCAGCATGAACTCACCCCTCTCCCTTTCAGCTGTTAACTCCTTCCCTCGCTCACTAACCCTCTCCCCTCCCCCCCTCAGTGGCCCACGAGCATCTGAAGGAGCGCGGGCTCTTCGGCCTCCCTCCTCCTCCTCCCGGGGCGAGCCCGGCCGAGTATTACCACCTGATGGCCAGCCACCGGAGCCCCTACAGTGAGCTGTTCATGCAGGGGGCCGGGGCCGCCGGGGCCCACCTGTCCGACTACATCAGCCCCATCGACGGTGAGTGACTCTGGGATCAATAGCTCATAGTTCTGCTCGTCTGGGTGCTTTTCTCTTTACTTTACGTCCTTTATGTTTCTAAAGACCTCTCGGAAAGTCGACTAGGACGCCAGCTCAATTATTGGTTACAGAGGACAGAAGTAGAAGAAAGACGAGCACACGACGTGCTCGTCAGACAGTCCGATGAGCTGCCTTCACACTGATTAAGAATCAAACTCAGGTGAAGAGATGATGAAACACAGATCACAGGAGAAGAAGAAGCCTGCATACATCTTTCATGTCAAACATCTTCAAAGTGCCGACCCTGAGCCGGCACCTTCCCATCGACACTCAGGACTTCTGGTGACGCCGTCGCCCGGCTTCTTATTCTAACAAATAGAGACTTTGATCCGGCGCTCTGCGGTTTGAAGCCCTTAAAAGGGAAGCCACGTCTGAGGGACTCCTGCTGATGAACACCAGAGAGAGGAGCGAAGTCCAGTGACGGGACACTTCCTGTTCAGGGATCGGCCTTTAGCTTTAAGAAACACACAGATTTAGATGTTTCGGCTCGCCTTCACTGAAACAAACACGCCTCTAGACGTGGTCCGTGTCACATGTCGGCCTCTGTAAGAACAGACCCACGAGGTCTCAGACTGGAACTAGAAGGAGGTTAAAAACCTTTACAGTCCAGAGATGGGACTGAGTCCAGTCAGCGCAGCAGCCGGTTCAGCGCTGCATGCAGAGCTCACAGGTTCAGCTCCTCCCTGCAGCTCAGGGCCGAGAAGGAGCCAACAAACCGTCTCAGTGAAGCTGTGCAGGCGCCGAGGCCAACACTAACGGGAAGCCCGCTCTGGCTCCGTCTCTGCAGGAATGTCATTGTTAAGTTATTCAGCCAAGCTGTGAGAAGAAACATCACTTCATCTGCTCCTCTGCACACCCAGAGGACAGGAAGTACAACCCGACTCACCAGAGTAAGAGCTTCAGAAGGAACGCTTGACTTTCTTTGTCAGAGTTCAGTCTCCTCAACAGCAGCTGCAGGAAAACACACTAAACACACTAAACACAGTCTCACCTGCAGTGCAACTCTTTAAAGTCTTTATGTTTCTGCACACAGCTGCTTTCAGTCGCAGGAAAACTTTCCATTCTTGTCGGTTCAGCTGTGATGAAACATCAGCTCATAGGATGAAGAAACGTCCGTCTTATCCTTCTTCTGAGTCATGCACGTTGTTCCTGACTACATGTACGACACATACACTCTGTCATGGTCCTTAAGAGCTGTGCTCTGCAGGACCGAGCATTTCTTCTTCTGCTTCTTCTTCTTCTGCTGTTTCCCAGCAGCTGCGGCATCGTTTGAACCGGCAACCTTCTGGTTTCAAACAGTCCGGTTACAGACGGACCACAGTGGCACCGAGAGCCTCGGGGGCTGCAGCACACACACACACACACACACACACACACACACACACCTGATATAAATCACAGAGGAGGCGGCGAGCGAGTGCAGCGGAGCTTTTCCATTGGTCCATTTATCAGAGGAAGTGGCTCATTAATAAACACATCTCCCCAGAGGTGAGAGGAAGTAACAGAGATGAATACGGCTGCTGCAGAAAACACACACCTGATCCTCTACACCCCCACCTTCCTCTAACGCCACCATCACCGTCACCCGGAGCTTCGTCTCAACTGCTTAAATGTCTAAACTAGCGTCCCATGACACCGGGGGATGAGCAGTAACGTCCCAGGACGGAGACGTCTCGGAGCATTTAGGAAGACGAGTTAGAGAGCAGAGGGTTCTGGGTAAAGTCACCTGACGCTCTCAGAGGTTCCCTGAGGAGTCACATGACGCTCGTCTGGAGCTCCACTCTGAGTTTGAAACGTCTCAAAAGCGTCGTGAGGAGCGAGAAGCTGCTCCGACTCGCCTCCTTGTGCAGAGTTTGGAGCGTTGAATAAAAACCCAGAGAGCAAAGCGGGTTCTTCTGCAAAAGGACAATATTCCATTCAAGAAATCAGTGATTGTTTTGTTCTTCCTGCTCTCTTAATACACTTTCTTTATTCACTTTATCACTTTCAGTGCTTTTGGGCCTTAAACCGGTTTGATCCTGTATTTTCCTCCACGTCTTCTTCTTCTGTCCTACGTTCATATGAACACATGAACACCCATCAGAACACAACATGAAGCATGAATTCTGCTCGATTTCATTCAGCGTTACGTCGAGTTATTTAAGGAGCAGAGCTGACTTTATTGCAACAACCAGTTTCACAAAACATGAATTTAAAGCCGCACAAAGCTGCAAAGCTCTATTAACATCACTGATCAGCGATTTAACAACAAGCATGAGAATAACTTCTTACTTCCAGCCCATGAAGAAGCATGAACACCAGTCTGTAGACGTGTTAAAGTCTGATTGATTCGTCCAACGTGAACAAACAGGAAGTCCTCATCCATTCATCGCTCTGCACCTCCTCACAGCTGACCATCAATTCTCTGTAAATCGCCCTCATTCAACATCGTGAGGCACGAAGCAGCCGCGATGTTTATCTTTATCTAGACTCGTTAACGTCTGAGGCTTAATGCAGGTCACCACATGGGTCCACATTTGTTTATTGTAATATTTCTTATTTTATTATATTATTATTATTATTATTATTATATTATTATTATTATTTTATTATTATATTATTATTATTATTATTATTATATTATTATTATTATTTTATTATTATATTATTATTATTATTATTATATTATTATTATTATTTTATTATTATATTATTATTATTATTATATTATTATTATTATTTTATTATTATATTATTATTATATTATTTTATTACTATTTTATTATTATTATATTATGATGATGATGATGATGGATGAAGAGTGTTTAGAGTCGCACCAGACAGGAAATAGTCCCTTTATTTAGGACTACTTTCTGCGGCGGACTGATCCTCGTGGTCCACTCACCTGTGTGTCCCCCCCTCAGTGTCCCGGTTCTCCGGCCCCAGGCTGCCCCCCCGGCTCAACAGGAAGCGCTCTCTGTCCGTGTCTCCGCTGTCGGACGCCAGCATCGACCTGCAGACGATGATCCGGACCTCGCCCAGCTCGCTGGTCGCCTACATCAACAGCTCGCGCTCCGGCTCGGCCGCCGGCGGCTCCTACGGACACCTGTCGGTGGGGGGGCTGAGGTAGCTCACCTGAGGAGACATCACAGCCTCTTCTTCACACACTCCTCCTGCTTCCTTTCCTCCCTCTGTCCTTTGCTACCTCCTTGTGTTTTCCTTTTCTTGTCTTTCTCACCTTCGCTATCCCCTTCCTTCTCCTCCTATGTTCCCTTGCTTCTTCTTTCCTTCTCTATCTCCTCCTTTCCTTTACTTTTCTCCTCATTCATTTCCTCAGCTCTATTTCCTACTTTCTCCTTTCCTTCTCTCCTTCCCTTTTCCCTCCTCTTTAGGTTTCTTTCCTTCACACACCTCTCCCTCCCTACCTCCTAATTCCTTACCCCAACTCTTGTGTCCTTCCCTCTACCCAATTTCCTTCTTACAGTACCCTCTTCTTTCCCTTCCCTCCTTCCTTATGCACCTTGCCCATGCAGGTGACTTTTGACTTTAATGTCTCCCTGTCTCCTCGTCTCCTCGTCTCCTTGCAGCCCGTCCTTCCCCTTCCCTCACCCCCTCAACCCGATGGCGTACCAGCAGCTTCTCTCCCAGCAGCGCGGCCTCGGCGCCTTCGGACACACTCCGCCTCTCGTCCAGGCTCCGCCCACTTTCTGCGTCCGCCAGCCGGGTCTCGGCCTATCGGTGTCGTCCTCGGTCCTCAACAACGACCTGCAGTCAAAAGTAAACAAACACTTCATTACGTTAATGTTATATTCATCAATAAAAACTAAGATAAAAACAGTAATTCCGATGAGCTTTTCTGAAGGAAGCCTGCAGATGTTTCTCACTAGAAACATCTGGAACCACGCTCTTCAGCTGTGACTGTGTTCAGTGGTTACTGAGTGATCACCGGTGACTCTTCCTCTCTTCAGAACCACGGCGGAGACTCGGTGGTCAGCAGCACCGTCGACCCCTCGACCACCAAGAGGTCTAAAGTAAAGATGGAGGCCGAGGGCCTGAGGCCGCCGTCTCCTTGCTCACCGGTACGGAGATGAAAGCATCACTTTATTAGTTGTTGTCCTCTGATGAGACAATTCTGTCTTCTTTTAATGAGTCTGGTGAGAGACTTCACATCTCAGGAGGTTTTAATTCCAAAATGAAATGAAAACAATATTAGTAACAACGAGACACTTTAAGACTTTGGAGGAAAGTCAGGATTTCATCTGGACGTTTAACTTCATGGACGTGTTTCTAAAGTCACGGGGACATGAGGACAGTTTGAAACAAGTCATTTTAAAAAGTGGAAACATCGTCTCAAGAGAGGACAGTTATGAGATTTTGGTAATTTAAGACATTTGGAAAGAGAGTACCGTGGTGACCCCCCC